CAAGGCACATCATGTACAGGTACAAGCACCCAATGATAAATGTAAATGTATTGTATACCTAAAATGTACCAATAAAAGAATTTAAGAAAAAAAATACAGATCGAGGGGCCAGGGATTTAGCTCAGTGGTTCTGCCACCTGCCCCCACAACTGCAAAGACCCAAGTTCGATCCCCTGTACCAAAAAAAAAAAAAAAGATCGAAAGGAATTTCAGGCAATGATAAATGCTTCCCACAAGGATGTAATTTACCAAAGAAGAAGAAAAAGTAATTACAGTCTGAGAGAAAATTTGGGACTGAGAGTTTCCAAATTGCTTCAGAGTACCGAGCAATTGAAACTTCACTGTTTTTATAACAAAGGTCAACCTGATGACTGGGTGACTGTGGTGGGTTCCTGCAGCATTGCTCCATCCACACTTTCCAGTCAGGAAAAGTGGCACTCAGGCCTAGGCTTTCCTAGAAAGCCATGTGTTTCCACACAAGGTTCTGACTTTCATAAAATACCCACAACAACTGTCTTCTCAAGGTCCCCTTCTGTCACTTACTTCCGGGACAACTCAGCCTTCCAGTGATTTTAGCAAAGATAGGAGTAATATTTTCGGTCTCATGTACTAAGCATGAAAACTTACCTCATCATCATCCATTATATTTTCCTTAGCAAAGTCATACAGCTCTTTCTGGAGTGTTGTCACGTTAAAGAACTGAACTGCTTCCTGTTGAGACAGAAACAGGGTATGGGATTTCTCTCTGGAGTGATGAAAATGTAGATTTAAATTTAGATTTAAAATTAGTCAATGGTACTGGCTGCACAGCTCTGAATATACTAACAACCACTGAATTGGGCACTTAAAGAAGGTGCACATTCTATGGTATGTGTATTATACTGCAACAACAAAAAAAGAAGAGTTTCTATACACGTGTGTGTGTGTGTATTGGCAGGTGAGGTGTGAAGGAAGATGTATCTAGAACAACCAGGAGAGCATACAGGAATCCCACTGAAAAGACAAAAATCAAGGGCCAGGGATTTAGCTCAGTGATTTTGCTGCCTGCTACGCAAGCGCAAGGACCCGAGTTCGATCCCTGGTACCCAAAAAACAAAAAGAAAAAAAATCAACTGGAAAAGCTTTTCAAAGTGACATTAATTAATGGAGCTCCCTGACAACATGCTCAAACTTTGAGTTTGTCCACCATGGGAATTAAATGATAATCTATCCATACAAGAGACTACCATGGTCCTATTGAAAAATAACAGTAAAGTAGGTCTATAGACATGGCACAGAAATATGTTCATGGTGAATTGCTAGAAAGACAAACAAGTTGCAAAACAGTACATAAAGTATGATCCTGTTCTTGTAAAAATAAACAAAAACAGCCTGTATATATGAGTAAGCATATAGCTCTAAAAAGAGATAAAGGGGATCAAGAGAAAGTATGGGATTGTTAGAGAATTACACTTCCTAAGTAAAATATTTCTGTAATGCTTAATATTTGTAAAGTATTTATGGATTCAGAAATCAGAATAAAGCAGCAAAAGATTAAGACAAAAAAAAAAAACCTACAGAAACCAGTGAGATTTCCCTGAGAGGGAGGAAGGAAAGAGAGGAAGGCAAAGTCTGGGACTCACTGGTCTGGGCTGGAAATGCTCGTCTGAGAGGCCCCACTTGTCCCTGTGGTACTGGTAGTACACCAGGTTCTGCTGCATGACCTTGTCGTTCTGGTCAAAGAGCAGGTAGCTGACTGCACAGGGGGCTGCATTCTTCAGGTCACTCACTGGGTGCAAGAGAGAAATCAGCAAGGCATACCCCGCCATACCCTGCCATACTCTGCCATCCCTCCCAGCAGTTACCATTCCTGGAAGCCCAGCTTCCTCAAGGAAAAGGTCACGAACAAGCAACCCCTCTATAGCCCCTCTATAGCCTCCAGAAATCCTGCAAATGCCCACTCTCCATGGTAGTCTGGAAGCCAGCTGTGAAGCATGGAAGTTTCTTCTTAGGCAGATGCTTTGGCGGACATGTTCCTGGACCACTGCAAGATCTGGTGACCTGACCTGGTCTCAGGCCCCTGGTATCTGCTGGAAAAGGTGGGTCCCAAGGTCTGGACTTTCCTGAGGCTGAGGGAAATAGGATGTACTCAAACAAGCTCCTCAATTGGGGTCTATATTTCTTTGGTCCTCTCTGGATATGTGCATACTCTTCAGAAACAGGTGGATCCTTCTCCGACTAAATCAGACTCGGAAGACATAAAGGATGGGGACTCCCAGGCTGGAAAAGATCTGAAGTCACTCGGTCCTGTCATCTCCTAGAAACTGGGGTTCCCAACTCCAGCCTCCTACTTAATATTGCCTCATCCATACCACCTTCAGCATAGAGATTTTAGAGAGGTTGGGATTTGTCTTGGGGGTGAGTAGAGTGGGGCGAAGGCTGAGACATAAGCCCCTGAGTATTCTTACACATTCTACTCCAATTTACAGTTTAAAACTGAAGAACACCATTTCTGCCAATGCTGTTTGGCAGGAGTCACTGGAGCTTGGATATGAATAAATTGTGCCACCCGGCGGCTACTTTCTGTAATGACAACTTTAAAACTCTCCTCAGCAGGGCATTTCACCACTATTCACAAGGCCTGCATGGCTGCTAAACGGTTCAAACATAAATTGTAATACCAGCTCAAGAAATTTAGAGTGGTAGGAAGTCTAAAAAGAGTTTAAAACAGGGAAGACTTACAGGAGAGTAATTTCAGGAAGTGAATTTTACTTACACCATTTACTTATAACTCCAGAAAGCAGAGCTTTTCTGGGGAGCAGCATGCAATGTTAGGAGGCTTTGGCCTACCAGTGTATACAAGACTTTACCACTTCCTGATACTCAGGACAATTCCCTAAGTACATGAGCACTTTGCAGGACCAGGGAGATGCTGGAGCCCAGATGAGTCTGCAGCAATAAACTCTCAATATTCTAACTGTGGGTACTCAGAGCCCAGTCATGCTCAGAGGCATGCAGACCTCACAGACTAGTAGATAACATACATGGATAATATATATATAATATTTTTTTTCTTCCTATTTTTTTTAATCCTTTACAAGGTAAGGCTTCCAGTGAAAAGGGAAGGTGGCTGTTGTGGGAAAAGGGAGCCCAACAAAGAACAAAATAACTGCAGTGTGAAAAGAGGGCTATAAAAGCCAAGGCTGCCTCTCACTCTTCCCAGGCATCCTGAGGCCACCGGATCCTGAGTCTGAAGGAGGAAACTCGGGGCAGGTATCCTAGCCAGAACCTGCTACCACTGCTCCTTCACTAGGACTGAACAGTTCCCGCTCCTTCTGCCCATGAGAGTCCTCCTGTGCTTACAACCAAATAGCCAAAGTGGACACTGCACAAACAAGCAGCACTTGGCACAGTCGGTGATAGGAAAGGAGGTGAAATCTAAACAGATGGGCTTCGAGGTCTTACTCCCAACCACCTTCCTATATCCATTTGCTTCCTTTTGTTCACGTATGAGGTGTATGATGGAAATACACAATGAATGTATTAATTTTTAAATGTATTACAGTAAAAGACACAGTGCTATTAATTCCCCTCAAAATACTCCCCTTCATTTTAACACATTTAACCCATCATTCTCCCACTTTCTGAAGCGGTTCTGGAAATCCTGTTTCATGGGTGTGTTTTCATGGCCGCCTTGATGTCCTGAATCAATTCAAAACAATTACAGCAATCATACAAAATTATTATGGTATGTCCACCAGATCTTTTTCATCAGATCTGGCACCATATGATTTCTGGCTCTTCTCCAAAGTCAAAATGAACAAGGAGGGTAACCATTTGAATAGCAAAACTGAAGACATTCCCAAAAGAAGACTTCCGGCACTGCTTCAGTAAGTGGCAAGAACAATGGGATAGGTATGTTTTGAGGGAAGATTAATAGCAATGTGTCTTTTACTATAACCATTTTTGTTTGTTTGTTTTTTTGGTACCGGGGATCGAACTCAGGACCTTTCATTTTTGAGGCAGGCGGTGGAACCACTGAGCTAAATCCCCGGCCCTTACTATAACCATTTTTAATTTAAATATTCACCATGTTTTTCTATCATACCTCATAGGATGTTCTCATCGAACATGCATAGCACAGCACCAGGGCTGTCAAGGTGACCTTGATGAACTGTCAGCAACCATAGGTAAGAAGTAGCACCTTTGTTACCCACGGCGAAGCTGTTTTAGAAAGATTAAATACCTCACCCAAGATTCTGTAGATGATTACTTACATTTATAATATGCAAACTGCAAATAATGATACATGGTAGCCACAAATTTCTCCACAGGATAGCCTCCTATAACTGGAGTGAGGTTCTCTTCACACTGTATTTTGCATTCCAAGACTTCTATATAATGATCTGAAAAACACACAAATTTTTAGAGCAGTGCATCCATTACTTTTTGTTTCTGCAGTGCTGAGGATTGAAGCCAGGCCTTACCCATGCTAGCCAAGTGCTCTTCCACTGAGCTACATCCCCAGTTTCATTACTTTCTTAATATAGGTACTTCTGCCTTCCATTCAAATGATGAAAGTAAAAGAAAAAATATTTACAACATTTACAATAAGAGGCTAAAATCTTTATTATGCAAAGCTCCTTAAGATCAAGAAAATGTCAAACACTCACTATAAAAATGGCCAAAAGATGTTAACAGAAAGTATAAAAATAACCACTGTGAAGAGATGGTATACCTCCTTTGTAATTAAAAATACAATCATGGGGCTGGGGATTTAGCTCAGTGGTGCCATGCCTGCCTTGCAAGCACAAGGTCCTGAGTTCAATCCCCAGTATCAAAAAAAGGAAAAAAGAAATACAATCAAATCCAAGTGTGGTGGTACACATTTTTAATTCTAGCACATAGGGAGGCAGAGGGAGGAGGGTCTAAAAAAAAGAGCTAGGGGGCTGGGGATTTAGCTCAGTGGTTCTGCCGCCTGCCTCGAAAGCAGAACGACCATAGTTCGATCCCTGATACCAAAAAAAAAAAAAAAAGAGCTAGGGATGTAGCTCAGTGTGAAGGCCCTGAGTTCAATCTCCATTACCTAAAAAAGATTAAACTTACACACCCATATTCTGTTAGAGAACAATTTGGCAATATTTATAAAAGATTAAAATATATATGTCTTCCAACCTATGAGTCTACTGCTAGGAAATTTTCTTTAGACATAGGCACATATAAGCATTGTTTTAACGGCAAACATGGAAGAAACTAAATGCCAGTCAATAAATTATGGTACATACAAACAACAGAAACTATAAAGCCTTTTGGAAAATAAGGGGAATTTAAATATAACAACATAAGAGATGTGAAAGACTACATTCTCCACACTGAGCATGGTGGCGCACGCCTGTAATCACAGCTCTGGGGAGGCTGAGGCAGGAGAATTGCCAAGTGTTTGAAGTGAGCCTGGGCTGCATAGTGAATTCAAAGCCAGCCTGAACTGCACAGCAAAACTCTGTCTCAAAAAAAAAAAAAAAAAAGGACTACATTTCCCAGCCTCCCTTGCAGTTGGAATGGGGCCATATGCTTGGTTGGGGCCAATGAAACGTAGATGTAACAACTAATGAAGCTACTTCCAGTCCTGGTATTACACAGAACCTCCCATGTGACCCTTGAACCCCTCTCCTTTATGGCTAGAAGCAAAAACTAGGATGTTTGCACAGATTTTGTTGTCAAGACTGTGGAGAAAAAAACGCTGTCATACATTGCTGGTAGAAATGCAAAACGGTACCTTAAAATACTACATGATTAACAGAAACATTTCCTATTTGAACTATTAAACCACTTCTGTAAATTCTGAAAACACAGTTTCATACTTAGAAAAAAAAGGCTTATCCACTGCAGTATTTTATGTGGTAGCAAAAGATTGGAACAACCCAAATTTCTATCAGACAGTCGAATAAACTATAACAATCCCCCCCTCAACCTGCAATGGAGTACTTGGTAGCAAATATAAATAAGTGCTACTTTGTATACATTAAATGGGAAAACAAAGAATAGAACAGAGTAAAAGGTATATGTTATCTTTGGGTCTAGATGTCCCCTCAAAGCCTCAAGTCGTCATAGGTGGGTGAATCTAGAGTGTGTGATGCTGGGGTTAAGGGAGTGTGATTACTAAACCACTACACCATTGGTTCGGCACCACCCTAATCCCGGTAGTCCGAATAAAATAAAAGGGGCAGAAAGATGCAGTTAAGGTCTCTTGTTGCTTTTGCTGTCTTCCACCGCCATGAACTGTTTCTCCTCTGTGATGCCCCTCCACCATGTGCCACCCTGCCTTGGAACCTGATGATTATGGACTGAAACCTCTACCAACTATGAGCTAAATAGACCACTTCCCCTCTAACTTTGGGTGTCGGGTATTTTGTCTCAGCAACAGGATAAAAGTAACTAACACAATGTAGTACCTATTTTGTATAAAAGAACCATATAAAAATAAAAAGTGATTCAGATAAGAATTCTCAATAGGTGGGACATCAGCAAGGGATGAGAGGAAAGGGCAGTTTTATGAACAACAAGTTATTGTGGTCTTACTATTACAAATAAATTCAAGAGAAAATACTAACTGTATGGTGGAGAAAACACCAAATGCTTAAAAATTGACATTACTGAGCTAGGGATTTAGCTCAGTGGCACCGCGTCTGCCTCGAAAGTGCAAGGTCTTGAGTTCAATACCCAGTACCAAAAAAAAAAAAATTGACATTACTGTTAAGAGGGTAAGCAGACATGATATGTGTCTGGACATAACACCCTAAGGGATGCACCTGGAGGGTTCCAGCCAGAAATGCACAACCTGAGTGTAACTATGAGATTACAGGGTGGAAATCCAAATTGAAGAATATTTATAAAGTAACTGACCTAAATGTTTTAACGCTATCACTGGCATAAAAAGACAAAGGCCAAAGAACTGTTCCAGATTAAAGAACAGTCAAGAAAGACAACTAGATAGGAAACATGATTCTGTACTGGATACTGCACTAAGGAAGAAAATATGCCATTATATAAAGACATTATTGAGACAACTGACAAAATTAAAATATGGATGTAGATTGCATCAAAGTATTGTATCTAAAGTTCCTGAATTTAATTACTGTGGATATGCAGCCAATATTATTGTTCTTAGAAAATATGCTGAAGCATTATGGGGTAAAAGGTCATCATATCTGTACCTACTTCCAAATGGTTCTGAAATAAAAATAATTACATGCACCAAACATGGAGAAAGTAATAAAGTAAATGTGGCACAATCAATGTTAAAATTTGGTGAATCTAGGTGAGGACATGAGAATTCTTAGCACTATTCTTGCAACATCTCTACAGATTTGAAATTATTTAAAAATAAAACCTAGTTCTGGAAATCCCCTCTTGTTCTTGAGGGCTGTATTCCAGAAGACTCCTTGTTATGAAACTACAGATGGTATGAAATTTTATTTTATACAATATATAACATATATTTTTCTATTTATATTATATAATATATTATATATTGTATATATTATAATTTTATATATTATATATTTTCTATTCATGTAAGTTAGGTATGGTAACAATATAGCTAACTTTCATACCTAACATACCTTTCAACATACGTAACATTCATGTAAGTTAGGTATGATTAACAATAATAACTTACAGGAAAATAGAATAATTGTAACAATATACTGTAATAAAAGTTACAGGAATGTGGTCTGTCTCTCTCTCAAGTACCTTATTGTATTGAACTCATCCCTCCTATAACAATATGAGATGATACCAAGCCTATATGATGAGTCAGGTAAATGACACAGCTTTGTAACATAGCACTAAGCTACTACTGGGTAACTGGAACATAAGCACTGTGATAACTTGACAGTAGATCTGACAACCAACATACCTAGTAAGTGACTAATGGGCAGACAGCATAAACAGCATGGGTATACTGAACAAAGGGGTAATTCATGTTTGGGGTGGAACAGAGCAGGGTGGCAAGAGATTTCATGACATTACTCAAAACTTATGAATTATGAAAACATTACTAAAAACTTATGAATTGTTCATCTCTGGAATTTTCCACGTAGTCTTTTCCAGCTGTGGCTGACTGTAGGTAACAAAACCATAGGGAAGGGAACTACACATTGTATATCAAAGATGGGTAACAGCTGGGCACAGTAGCTCAGTCTTATAATCCCAGAACTCTGGGAGGCTAAGGCAGGAGGATGCCAACTGTAAGCCTAGCCTGGGCAACTTAGCAATTTAGGCCCTGTCTTGAGAAAAACAGGAGGTGGGGGAATTTTAGGTATGGAGCTCAGTACAAAGGTCCTGGGTTCAACCCCCAGTACTGAAAACAAACAAAAGAACAAAACAAATTCAAACCTCAGAGCAGTCAAGTCTTATTTCAGGTAAGTCCCAATTTACAAGAAATACAGAGGATGGAAGAACATGGAGACACAATTAGGAAAATCTAGAATGTGGAAATCTCTATGAGACAAATAACCCAGTTCCTTCAGCAGCAAGGGAGAAAAAAGATATGGAAAAATAGCCCATAGATTTAAAGATACATAAAAGATAACAGCTTTGCTATGACACAGATGAACCTTAAAGACATCATACTAAGCAAAATAACTCAGTCTCAAAAACTGAAGAAAAAAGAGCTGGGGACATAGATCAGGGTAAAGTCCTAGAGCAGTACCATAAAAGAGAAAAGATCAAAATGTTACTTTAGTGACAAGTACTTAAAGATTCATTCTAGTCTTCATTCTACCTTTTTGTGTGCTGCAAAATTGCCACTGCCATAATCCCAGTTATCTCAGTCAGTGTGAATCACTGGGTCACCTTTGGGCCCATTTCTATATTTCCACAAACCTTGAGGCAATCCGAAATGGAGCAGGGCTGATACAGCAGACTCCTCAGCAGGACTGGGCTTAAACTTTGTATCAGCTCTTTCATCAGAGGCCTTGGCCAGGTCACAGGTTTATCTAGGTAGGTGTCCTCTACCCAAGTTCTTTATTAATATGTAAACTCAGGGCTTGGGATTTATCTCAGTGGTTCTGGCACCTGCCTTGAGGTCCCAAGTTCAATCGCCAATACCAAAAAAAAAAATTTAAGCCCAGGTGTTTTTCAAAGACCCAGCCAGGCCTTCGGAGGCCTGTCCACTGAGAGCACCCTCTAAGGAAGACAGACTCCACGGGGCAGTGACCCTTCTTCCCTGTGACAAAGCCACCCACCTGCTATGGAAAGGTAGAAATCCTTGAAGTCCTTGATTTCCCTGGAGCCCTCGCAGGCTGAGAGGCACTCGTAAAAGGTCTTTAAGAAGTCGGGGAGGGCCAGCTCCATGTCTGTGATGGCCGTTCTCCAGTTCTCGCCATTGTAGGCCCTCACCGCTCGGATGAACAGGCTCTGAAAAGCAAGGAGACGTTGTGAAGCTTGTTCCAGCCTGGAAGGAGGCAGACATGTCCCACCAAAGGAAGTGAAGTCTGCCTTCATTACCCCCTAGAAAAGCCACCCTGATCTTTCATTAAACATGAAGCCCATCTTTAATGTGGTCTTTTTTTCCCAGGTACTGGAGATTGAATCCAGGGCCTTCACACTGAGCAACACCCCATCCCTCTAGCCCTTTTATTTTTAATATTGAGACAGGGCCTCCCTAAGTTGCTAAGTTGCCCAGGCTGGGCTCAAACTTGCCACTCTCCTGCCTCAACCTCCCAGGGTGCTGCCACCACGGCTAGTTTGTAATTTGCTTGCTTGGTTGCTTGTTTCCTTCCTTTCTGAGACAAGGTTTCACGATGTAGTTTAGGTTGGCCTTGAACTCACCATGTAGTCCAGGTTGGCTTCGAACTCATGGTGATCCTCCTGCCTCAGCCTCCTGAGTGCTGGGATTACAGGTGTGCGCCACCACACCCCACCTGTAATTTGCTTTACGTCTAGATTTTTTTTCTACTATTTACAATAGTAAACAGTACTGTTTACACTTCTTATTTACACTTCAAAAAATAGCATGTGCTTGATAACAAAATCAAATTCAAATCAAGAAAAAAGTAACAAAACTCAGATCAGCAGCTGCCAGGAGTCAGGCACTGGAGCAAAAGCTTGACTCCCAGAGACAGGATGGAACATGTTGGGAGCGATGCAAATTCCATACCACATACATGACGACAGTTATAACTGCAGATAGTTGTCACAGTGCATTGAATTTTGTGCTTAAGACTGGAAAATACATTGTAGATCTATTCACCTCAATAAGGCTGATTTTAAAAACTGAATTTGGGGGCCGGAGATTTAGCTCAGTGGTGCCACCACCTGCCTCACAAGCACAAGGTCCCGAGTTTGATCCCTGGTACCAAAAAAAAAATTGAATTCAGGAAAAGACACAAGTTTGAGAGCAGGTGTCTGACACCCTGCTCCCTCCAACTGTGAAGTACAAAGCAGGAGAGGCTTGCTCCAGCTGGTTGCCATGACAGTGACGGGCACGAGGTGGTAGAAACTGCACAGACTTTCTATGCTCATTGTCAACTGGACCACATGTGAGACAGTAACCAGGACTGAAGAAGCCGTGCAATAACCAAGAAATAAGTAGATCCTGGACACATGCAAAAGCCTTCGAAGTGCAGGAGGCTGTGACAGGCTTGAAGCAGGCATGGGACTCTCCATTCAGAGTCCCTTTCAGCTGCTCCAGGACGGGGCTATCCTTGGGCCACCTCTTGGAGCTAGTCTTTTTTTTCCTCACAGTACAGGTAATTGAACCCAGACTTTTTTTTTTTTTTTTTTTTTTTTGAGTCAAGGACTCACAGAGTTGCCCAGACTGCCCTCAAACTTTCAATCCTCCTGCCTCAGTCTCCTAAGCAGCTAGGATTATAGGCATTCCCTACCACACCCAGTGAACCTGGACTTTTCACCAAGCTTCAGACCTAGAGAGGGTGAATCTCTTTAAACCTTCTGAACAGGCAGTGTCCCCTGCCAATAAGACAGGCAGAGACCCAAAGGAGTCTTTCCCATAGAATGAATAAATGAGCAGCTACTCCAGGCAGCTGGCCTTGCAGAAGCAGCATGGTAGCAGTACCAGCAAGAAGGAAGCCAAGCAGTCAGAGAGCCTGAGTGCACAAGAGGTCAGCTGGGCCACACCCAGCAGGGCTCCAGGAGGGAACAAAGGGACCAGCTGACTTGTAGCTAAGCACAGTGCTTTGACCACTGGCATCTGGCTCTGCTCCCCAAACCCAGGGCACGTGAAGAAAAGAAAAAAGCAGATGTCCTTTTTTTGTGAGGACAACAAAGGAGCAGGCAGCAGAAGAGAGATCTCGACAACTTTTAGAAAGACACAATCATCAGGGGAGAATCCGGAGGGGAAGTGAGCTACATGTCCTGCTGGTACCGACAGGCAGAGGACCACGGGAGACGGGGGACACAGAACTGAAAGCAGAGCTGAAAGTCTGAACAGGGCTGTGGAAGCTGAGGTGCCTCCCAGCACTACCTGACCATCCAAGAGATTGCAGATTTCAAAACCGCTCTTCACCAGAGCCTGGCAGCTTATCTCGGACAAAGATTCCACCCAGACGCTGCTAAGTCAAGCACAGAGGAGGCTAAGATGGACGCCTGGGGCTGAAACCCAGGAAACAGGGATGTCTTTGTCTTCTCAGCGCAGTGGCCCCTTGCTCCTCTCCCCAGACGGGCTCTCAGATACCAGCACACAAGGACTGTAGAAGGCTGGACAAGTCTTCCCTGGAAACCCGGAAGGCCCCCAGAAAAGAGGGTCCTCACCGTGAAAAACTGAGCTGCAGTCTGGTCTCACTACCGGAAACCCTGTGATCAGGCCTTGGGATCTATAGTTCCTCACAGAAACTTTCATTCCATGCCCTTGTTTCAGCCTTGCCCTACCCTTCCCTGGTACCCAGGTGCCCGGGGTCTGAGCTTGACAGACCCTATCCACGATCAGTGCTCAAAAGAGTTAGGTGATGCTTACTCTTCAGAATTCTCATCAGAATTCCCCTTTGTAGATTCACAGACTTAAGTATCCTCTATTCTGTTAACAACTCTTTACTTTCTATCTTAATATATAAGTTGTGTGTGTATGTAAAATAGGTCTCTCAGTTTCATTAAAATGGAGACTTATTCTTAAAGGTAATAATGCATCAGCTTATTTTATGAACTCTCAGAATATGTATTTGACATGTAAAAATATACAGTTTGTCAGCCATCTCTTAAATTAGACTATAAATACTGTTGTATAATTTTCTTTGGTCAGAAACATTTGGACTAAGTAGTACCACTTGGGTCAGGATTTTCTTCAGTGCCATGTATTTAGCACACCAAACTATCTTTAGGCTATGTAATTAGAAAAATTTATATACTACAATGGAATAGTTTTCGCACTTCATGAAGTATTCTGGAGCCCCGTCTAGCAAAATTAGAGGTGACAGTCCTGAGGAGAGTTAAGAGAAAAAGCCAACACTTTCAGGCCTAAATAGTTGAATCTTCTAAAGATAAATAATGTCTGCTATCTCAACTCTCCAAAGTTTACTGTGTTGATACTGTCCGTTGTGGAGGAGATGAATAAAATTGGGCAGCTAAATTTCAGTTCCATGTGCCTCCTACATACACAGAAAATAAGCAGTTATTGTAAATTGACTTGCAGACAAAGTAGGAACTCCCCTGCATGCTGTTTCTGTAAAGAGAGGACATTCTCCAGCCAAGCACAGAACATCTAGTTTTCTATTAGTCACACCACTGTATAAAGCAGAAAAACTGAATGGGAGAAATGATTGTTGTAAACAATGAGTTGCTTTGCATGGTCTCATGTGAGATAATTGGTGTAAGAATCTTGACTTTTTTATATTTGAAAACAAATAAAAATGGAAACATGAAGCCGGGAGTGGTGGTGCATGTCTGTAATCCCAGCACTCAGGAGGCTGAAGCAGGAGGATTGCCACAAGTTCAAGGTCAGCCTGGGCTACATAGTGAGCTCAAGGATAGCCTGAACTACAGAGCAAGACCCTGGCTCCAAAAAAAACAAATGGAAACATGAAAAAAAAAAAAAATGGAGACATATGTCTCTATCCTATGTTCCTTGACATTTTTGCATGATTTCTAAACTATGTCTTTACTACGTGAAAACTACACAGTCGAATGACCATATGTCCAAAATGAAGGGAGAGGTATCTTTAAAACCTCCTTGGAATGTAAAAATTCATCTTACAGATCCATTTTGTGCTAAAAAGCCAATTTTTCTAAGTCATAATGTTAATCAAAAAAATCACTAGAGGTCTTTGATGTCAATAGCTGTTCACTGGTACATTTCTTTAACAAAAATCACATTGCACTGACCACTGTCTAAAAATCTAAATCTTCTGGGCATGGTGGCACATGCCTGTAATCCCAGCACTCAGGAGGCTGAAGTAGAAGGCTCACTGAGAGTTCAAGGACAGTCTGGGCTACATAGTGTGTTCAGGGCCAGCCTGGAATATATAGTGAGACCCTGATCAATAGATAGATAGATAGATAGTCTGAATCTACCTCATATGACTTGGTTTCCAAGTCTTTAATGTAGTCCTCAGCCCCAGGCAAGCTCTTGTAATACTCCATGTTTCTCTTCATCATGTCATCATCAGGATGCTTCAGGAGAAAGGTATGAGCTGCTGCGATGGCCTTTGGGAGATTATTTGCCTAAGTACAAAGAAGAAAGATAACATCTACTCAATGGATGCTGAACAGTGAGTTTCATTAAACAAGGTCCTTTCCAAAACTTGTTGGCAACCATCCTTCAGTAATTTTGTGTTCCTAGGCAATGTTTCCAGTTTAGGGTTCAGTGACTTCCAGGGTCCACCAAGACCTGGTCCACCCCCTCAGCATGAGTATCTCCCTGTGCCTTTCCCCATATACTTCCTACCATCTCCACTCCACCTGTGTCCCAGGAGGCTGGGTGCTTTACAGCAGACTCCTTCCCCTCAAGCTCCAAAGGGGCTCAGTGGTGGGGGCCCTGGAGAAGACTGGAGGAAGGGAGGGTAGCAGGTTGGGCTGTTTCATCCCCTGGCTCCCTCCCTCCCTGCACAGTCATGCTGGGCTGTAGCATCTCTTAACTGAAGGTCACGCATCTCTCCAGGAGCCCTCTCTGTAGACTGTCTCCTTTTAGGTTCTAGTACCTGCTCTCTCCTTTGCCCCTTCTGGCCAAGTGGTGGTGTTATAGTTAATGGGCACTGGCTAACGCTGATTGGATCATAAGGGCTCTAACTTCATCAGTAGATTAATCCACTATCAGTGCATTTTGTAAAATTGATGACATTATTGGGGGTTGATGGAACTTAGGAGATAGAATGAATAGAAGAGGGTGGGTCATGGGGCATGATCTTGGGGACTATTGTCTTGATCCAGACCCCTGCAACTCTGGCTCTAGTTCTTTCTCTCTCTCTCTCTCTCTCTCTTTCTCTCTCTCTCTCTCCAGATTTTTTCCATTATGCCCTTCCTCTATGATGTTTCTGTGTAACCATGTTAAAAGTGATAGAACCAGGGCCAGGGATTTAGCTCAGTGGTTCCACCGCCTGCCTTGCAGGCGCAAGGTCCCAAATTCGTCCCTGGTACCCAAAAAAACCCAAAAAGTGACAGAACCAGCTGACCATGGACTAAAACCTCTGAAATCGTGAATCAAAATAAACTTTTCCTCCTTTAAGTTTTTGTTACCAGGTATTTTGTCACAGCAATGCCAAGTTGACTAAAACAGGTGGTTGTACTCCACTGGTACTAGACCTGGTGGACTACACTGTCTCTCCTGGATTCCCCACACACCATGCACCTTTGTAAATAACTGCCTTGGTAACCTTCCCTCAGATTACTCAGGATTACTGTACCACATCTTTTCTGCTGGAAACGACACAAATATGTTAACGCTTCCCCAAATTTCTCAAAGAACCTTCGGGGTCCATTTTCAAGGACGCTCACCACCTCCTCAGTTACTCATCCATTCACTTGGCTAATATTTGTGAGAGGCTCTTATGCAGGCACTGTTTGTAGGAAGTAGGTTGGCATCGATAAACAAAATAAAAAAAAGATTCCCACCTTCCTAAGACATTCATTCTTAAACTCTTTTTCCTAATAACCTCAATTAAGAGCCTCTCTTGCTGGGTGAAATGGTGCACACCTGTTACACCAGCTACTGGGAGGCTGAAGCAGGAAGATTGCAAGCTCAAGGCCTGCCAGAACAACTTAGCAAGACTCTAACTCAAAGTAAAATTAAAACGGCCTGGGATGTGGCTCAGTGTAGAGCACTTGTGGGAAGCCCTGAAGAGCCTCTCTTTCTGCTATCCCTGTGTTCTGACTTCTCACCTTTTACACCTCCCTGTAATCTGAGTTAACTGACTCTTGTAGAACCCAGCTGCGTGTCACTGCACCTACATTCCTGGTGTCTGGCATAATTCCTATGACAAGGCAGGCCACAGTAAGTACCTGTGATTTGAACATAATGACATTATGACCACATAATATTTTTTGTGGTTTTTTTGTTTTGTTTTTTGGTTTTTGGTACCGGGGATCGAACTCGGGACCTCGTGCTTCAGAGGCAGGCACCAGAACCACTGAGCTAAATCCTCGGCCCCACATAATATTTTTATAAAATTCATATTCTCCCTCTTTTCGCTTCCTCTTCTGCCCCCTGAAGCAGTGACCAGCTGACTATGAGTTTCTCTGCCCCAGAGGAAGTCGGTGAATGGTAGAATGAAAAAGTACCCACGTGGCAGAACCCCTGTGCTCTTGGGAGAACTTAGCAGGTTTGAGCAGAGAGGACACTGACAGAGGGGGTACAGGAGCGGCAGAAAGAAGGTGACTGTCGGGGAGCAGAGGAAAAGTTTTCCCTCAGGATCTGTAGGAGCAGCAGCGTCCGGAGCCCTGGAAATTAAGGGATAGCGCCCTGAGTGCCCTGGGTGGCAGCGCCGAGAGGGCTGAAGTCCTGGGGAGGACTGCTGTGTGGTGAGGGGACCTCGGGGAGGCAGGGGGTGACGCAGATGCCTCCCTGTGAGGACGTGAGCGACGGAGGCCCCACCGACCCGGACGGGATCACGGGCGCACCCTGGTGGAGGAGCATGGTCACTGCAGCCAACACCAAGAGACAGGGTCACCGGGCCTGGGGGGCTGCGCCTGGAGAGAGGACTAAGGCGTGTAGGGTCGCACATATTTGTACACAGCTGCCTCCAAACTGAGGCTGCCCTGTGGGAGGAGAGGTGGGTGCAGACAAGGGCAGGCTCCCAGAAGTCAAGGCTGAGGCGCTCAGGAAGCTTCCACAAGTCCTGGCAGGTAGAAGGCAGGGAGGGACCAAAATACAGGCTTTTTAAAGCATTTGCCAAAGAAATTAGTCTCATCCTCGGAAGAGCATTTAGACAGAGAATACAGTGGTGGGGCTGGGGGTGGGGGGGTATTATCTATTTATTTGTTTGCTTATTGTGGGTTCCGGTACTTGAACCGCAGGGAATTGAACCCGGAGCCTTTGCACTGAGTTACATCTCCAACTTTTTTTTTGTTTTTCGATTTTTGGGTTTTTTTAGACATGGTCTTGCCAACTCTCTAAATTGCCCAGGCTGAGCTTGAACTTGCAATCCTCCTGCCTCAGCCTCCCAGAGTTCTGGCATTACAGGCATATCCCATCACACCCAGCTCTGAGTAGTCTCTTTAAGGCCTCTAGTTTAGGGTCTGAGTTTTGCAAAATGGACCTTCTCCCAAAATAGATATGGGTAATTCTTGGGCTGAGGATGTACCTCAGTGGTAGAGCACTTGCCTAGAGTGCCTAAGGCACTGGGTTCAATCCCAGCACTGCAAAGTAAGTAAATTAATAACAGTGGAAGCCCAGCATGGTGCCCAGCCCCATAACCCCAGCTACTTGGGAGGCAGAGGCAGGAAGATTTCAAGTTCAAGACCAATCTGGGCAACTCAGTCTCAAAATAAAATAATAAAGAGTTGGGGATATACTTAAGTACACCCTGGGTTCAACTCCCCAATACAGGAAAAAAGGGGGGAGCTTTACCTCCTTCACCCCAGGCTATGCCAGCTGGAACAGCACCTCTGACAGACCCCAGCGAGAGCACCCACCCCCTAACACAGGTTCCTGAGAGAGCCACCCACACGAGAAGACCCCACCTACGAATAGCTTGGCAGGCCAGCCAGCTCTCTCCAGCTCAAAGCACAACAAGCTCTCCAGACTTGATCAAGTGCAGGCCCAGTTTTTGGCTTTGCCTGTGGGTAAAATGAGCATTTCAGAGAAGATGACAGCCACAGAGGGAGTCACCGGTAGTGGAGGGAGCTAACACACAAGCAGCACTGCACCTTTTCCATAAGATCACACACCCAAGCCTCCTTGCAACCTTCCCCCGCCCACTCCCCCCGTCCTGTGTTCAACTCTGCTGTACGCAGGCTAGGCACATTCAGAATCACTGAAAAGCAGACCTCCAATTAGAACTGCACCACAACACTGACCCTCACTGCCACAGCAGGCAGCACCACGGACTCTGGGCTTCAGATGCCAGGAAGGACAGGCGTGCCTAATGCCAACCGTTTTCTCCCTGCCCATACACAGAGTCTGAGAATGAAAACATCATTGAGAAATAAAATCATACTTTATCTCCACTAAAAGTCACTTTTTCAGTGATATCTTCAGTTGAAACAAATTGAGTGAACATTTGAGTTTATTAATAAAATTCTTAACTTCCCCTGTCCCATAAGAGATCTCAAAATATAGCCTTGGTGTGGTGGTGCACACATGTAAGTCCAGCACTCTGGAAGGCTGAGGCAGGAGGATAACAAGTTTGAGTCCAGCCTGGGAAACTTGGTGACTTGGCAAGACTCTGTCTCAAAATAAAAAGTGAAAAGATTAAAAAAAAAAAAGGACTGGAGAGATGGTTTGGTGTGCTCAATCCCCACTACTACAAAGAAAAACAAACAAAACCAAATTCAAAATACTAAAACAGGTAGTGTTCTACTCACTTGAGTATTTTAAGTCCTGTAAAGGGTTTTGTAGAGATGTTACGAATATCCTAACCTTGAAAACCAATGCCTTAAGGCCTCATGAAGTTAAATGCTGTCCTCTCCTTCTAATACCACTTCTTCAAATTCACCTGTGTATTAAAGAAACCAGACAGCTGGGCATGGTGGTGCACACCTGTAATCCCAGCACTTGGGAGGCTGAGGCAGGAGGATTACCATGAGTTGGAGGACACCCTGGGCTACATAGTGAGTTCACGGGCAGCCTGAACCACATAGTAAGACTCTGTCTCAAAAAATAAAAAAAAAATAAAAAATCAAGAAATCAGAGCTTCTAGTGTTCTCCATGTTTAAAAATAAAATGTTCCTGCCTTGATTATGTGACTTAACTTGGTCCAGACAGTATTTGCCAAAAGTTATACCAAAAAAGAGTCAGACAGGAGCAACCCACTTTCTGGGGGGGTCCTTCCATCTCTCTTAGACAGAAACTATCTTTCTCTCAATAAATTCCTCCTACTTTAAAAAAAAAAGTCAGACAAGTCGTTTTTAGCTTTAAAAATAATGTTTGTATGAGCCAGCTGTCATTTTCAGCACTCTGGAATTTTATTAATCTCATCCCTGGTTCTATTTTAAAACTTTTTCTTTTTATTGTTAGGACATTCACAAAACTGGTATTTTATATAAAACTGTAACTAGCCATAGAAATAAACTAGCTTTCCTAGAATTCTGGGGGGTGTTTTGAATTATTTTATTGCTTATATGAATGCAACATACATGTGACTGTCTCAGTAAGTTCTGAAAAACAGAACTTATACCGTCCAAAGACTCAAAAAATGAAGGGGGGGAGGGGACCCTTCTACCTCCAAAGTCTGGGATATGTGATCAATCAGTTTTCGTAGTCAATAGAATAAATGTAATATATCCCTTTAAAAACCTTTTTCAACCAGAAGAAGTAGAAACTGGGCTTTGAGGGGCTCTGTGGGCCAAACCCTGTGCGGACCCACTATGCTAAAGCCTCTATGTCCAGTAACAAATAATTCACCCGACCCCTGCACTGGGGATTGAACCCAGGGCCATTGTACTGAGCTGCATTCGCAGCTCTTTTTTTTATTTTTGAGACATGTTCTCCTTAAGCAGCTAAACTGCCTAGGCTGGGCTCCAACTTGAGATCCTCCTGCTTCAGCCTCTCAGAGTGCTGGGAATACACGCATGCGCCACCATGCTCGGCTCAACCTGGTAAACCTGCAGATTAAGGACTCAAAGCATAGAGAACTGCAATTTGTGGCTATTTGGGGCCAGCAATCACGGTCGTAGTTTAGGCAGCTATAAAAAGGAAGCAGTGAACTGTGTTAAACTAGATGAAAGAGGGAACTGAGAGGGTCAGCCCGAGGAATCACCACACCCAGGCTCCTCCGGCAGGGAGGTGTCCTCAGAGTCCCCGCCCCGCCCGGCCTCAAATTCTTTCTTCCGCTTCATGTGGCTGGTCCGTCTCAGTTGAGAAAAGGCGGCAGTCAACAGGATCCACAGAAAAGAACTTTCTCTCAGTTACTTGAGGCAACGTTTATCAGGCACTTCGTTGGGTGCCAGACATTGCTGCGTCCCAGGCACTTATTCTCTACCTTAGTGCAGCGCTTCAAAAAATAGTATTTTCATCCTTACTTAAGAAGGAGCAGGACTTGGAGCGGACCTGGAGGGTGAGCCGGATCTAAGAGGCTCCGCGGAAAGCAGGCAGGGGCGGGGCCAGGAGAAGGGGTGGGGCCAGGAGTCAGCCGGGGCGGGGATGGGGCGGGGCCTCGCGGAGGAGCAGGGCGGGGCGGACTTGCCTTGAAGTAGGCGAACTGCAGGAATTTGTAGGGCTCTCGGCCCTGGAAGTCCGCCAGCACCTCACGACTGGGCTGCGACTGGCGGAAGGCGGGCAGGCCCTGCTTGCAGCGTTTGAGGCACTGTGCGCGGTGCAGCAGGCCCTTGAAGAGGCGCAGCTCCGGGTAGCGGGCAAGGCCCGCGGCGGGCTCGGGCTGGGGCATGGAGCTGCAGTTGCGGTGGCAGAAGGCCTCGCTGTCGCGCAGCAGGCGGTGCAGCCGCAGGCTAATCTCCAGGTAACCCACGCTCTCGGCCCAGTGCTCGCCGCTGTACTGGTCCAGCGCGTGTCTGTAGGCCGACTCGAGCGGCATCAGCTCGTCCCGCGGGAAGCTGCGGAAGCTGTAGCGCTCGTACTGGGCGCGCCCCGGGCGCAGCGCGCAGCCTGCGCACAGCAGCGCCAGCAGCGCCGCGGCCGCCCGGGGCCCGGGCTTCATGGCGTCCGGCGGAAGGAAGGAACGAAGGAAGGAGAGAGGAAAGGAAGGAGCGGGACGGCGCGACGCGGCAGGCCAGGGCTTGGGAGGCGGGACACCAGCCTCCGGCCCGCCCCGTCCGGCCGCCCCTCCCCACCTAGCCCGGATCCCGGCGACCGCTGCCTCTGCGGAGAGGAAAGGGTTCTTTGCGCGGCGCCCGGTCCACTCCACCCTGCGCTGTGCAGCGAGTGCTCCCGCGCCCGGCAGTTCCCTCGCGGGGAGACTGGTCTGCAAGCCATATGCGGCCCTGATGGGTCATTAGATAAGCGCTGCCTAAACTTAATCACTTGGAGAAATATGAAAATGCAGATTCCCTGGGCCGGACCCCCTGAGTTTCTGATTCAGCAAGGCTTGGGTGAGGGCCTGGGGATTTGCATTTCTAAATGAGCACTCTGGTAAGGCTGGTGCTGCAGACCTACAGACTGAATAGTGCAGCAATTTCAAGACGCACACTTGTGAGGACTTCGGTTCCACTTTTCAGAATGTGCTGGAGAAACTTGTGCGTGTATATTAAAAGATGTGAATAGAATGTTAAAAACAGCACTCAAGGCCCGGGGATTTAGCTCAGTGGTTTCGCCACCTGCTGTGCAAGCGCAAGGACCCAAGTTCGATCCCCGGTACCAAAAAAAAAAAAAAAGCACTTAAAATATATTCCTCAAACTTAATTTCCAGGAAAGCTGAAAAGGTTATATATACCCTTCCTCAAAATTCACAATATTGTTAACGTGCCATTCAATAGCAGTTTGCATATGTGAGGCCCACTTGACCTTTACATCTTTTAATATGTGCACCCTAAGAAGAACACTACAGACAACCATCAAATTCAGGAAATTGAACATTTATAGAACCCTTTAATAATCTATGTTCCCTATACTGGTTTTGCCAATTGTTCCAATATAGTAATGTCTTTTCTAGCACTTTTTTCTCTGGATAGGTCAGGATCACTATGGCATCTAATTGTCACTTCTGTTTCATAAACTTTAACCTAGATTGGTTCTTCAGCTTTTCTTGTCATCCCGCTGGCATTTTTTAAGAATACAGACAAAAACAAGAATGAGATAATGAAGTAGGATAGGATAGAAGAAATAAAGATAGGTGTCAGGCCTGTCCTAAACCAACAGGAAAAAACAAACAGGCTTTTCAACAGGCTACAAACAACAGCAGCTTTCCAGTAAATAGGGAAAATGGACTCAAAATGTGGTATACAACCCCCCTGGCACCAAGGAGTCTGGTAATTATACCCACCTGAGAAGACTGGCCTTGGGCATCCAAGTCATAAAAATTCCTTCTCCAAAATCTAAGGATAGTCTTCCTTCCCTGCTGGCTGCTGTCTCTCCCTCCCAATGTTACCCCATCCACCCAAGGATAAAATCTTTCCCTGCTAGCTGCTAAAATCTGATTTTAGTTCCCAATTCTAGTCCCTGTTCACTGAAATAAACTTTTCTTTGTCTCACAGCAAAGAGCCTGTTTTTTGACAAGTAGATTCTTTATAACAATAGGTTAAAAGGAAACAACAAAACTCAATTTTGTGTCTCCCTTATTACATTAAAACTCAGAGCCAGATCACTGCTCTGCCCTGTGTATATGCATCTTAATCACTTTGGGGGGTTCTGTATTGCAAGGGTTGTTATCCCTGAATTTACCCAGTCTACTTCATCTCCCCCTCAAGGCCGATTACACTAACATAGCGGTAACTAGATTAATACCCAGATGCCAGCTCTTTACAACATCTAGCTCCAGAATCCTAAAACAACACCTAGAAATCTCCAAACCTACAGTCACCCGAGATTCGAGGAAAAGCAGAGCCTTCCAGACCACCATACCCATATAGGAGCCAGTTACCCAGCTGAGAGATCAGAAACAGCCCCCTCCCAAGCAAGAACAATCATATCTATGAGGATTTCTCCAGAGCTACGAAACTAGAACCCAGAACTGAGGTAATGACTGACTGGATGCTGGGCCACATCAGCTAATCCATCAAAGCTGCCCTATGTCAGAGTGGCATCCCTTCAGTTGCTCAAGATGCAGTCCTCCTATTCACTAGTCACTCTTACTAATTCTGCCCAATAAATCTGCCTAAACCTCACAGTGACACATCCTGACATTCTTTTTCCATGATTTGAGCCAAGAACCTACTTTTGGGCCAAGCCTGGTAGCAAAGGCCTATAATTCCAGCTCTCAGGAGGTTGACACAGGAGGATCACAAGTTCATGGCCAGCCTGGGGTATGTAGTGAGACCCTGTCTCAAAAAAAAAAACCAAACAGAGCCTACTTTTGGCAGGCCAAGTTGAGATCTCTAACACCTCTTTAGAGGACCTTCTCAGATCCTGTTTGGTGACAGTACCACTGTACATATGTTGAAACAACAGCTAAAACACAACATCAAATGCTGGCAAGGATATAAAGCAACAAGTACTTTCCTTCAGTGCTGGTGAGAATCCAAAATGGTACAGCCACTTCAGAAGTCACACAAGCAGTTTCTTCCAAAACTAAATATTCTTCCCATGTGATCCAGCAATTGCACTCCTTGGTATTTAACCAAATAAGCTAAAACATGCCTACAAAAGCCTCCAAATGGATATTTATAGCAGCTTTATTCATTATTGCCAAAACTTAGAAACAACCAAAAGTAGGTAAATGGATACATAAACCATGGTATATCTAGACTATGAAATTTTGTTGAGCACTAATAAGAAATAAGCTATCAAGCCACGAAAAGACATGAAGGAAGCTTAAATGTCTATTAATCAGTGAAAGAAGCCAACCTGAAAAAGCTACAGACTATGATTCTAACTATACAACATTCTGGAAAAGACAAAGCTATGGAGATAGTAGTATAGATTACAATTGGGGCTACAGGACCACTCACCTGAATGGGGCAAAGCCCCAAGGCCAACTGCCTAACCCTTGTCCTAAGGCCAATTACCCAGAGACAGAGTTTCAGAAAACAAAAATCCCTGGGCTCTGCCTTGGAAAATTCCAAAGTCCCAAACCAGGATGTGGCAGAACTATCAGCACTTTTCCTCACTTGAAACTCATTGAAGTTTCATGCATATAAACTGCATCTCATATATCCAATTATAACAGCGAATTATGAATGGGAAAGAACTTAAGCTTTAGACACAGCTGGCATGACTCAGCACCCTGTCCATCATGTTGTCAGTCATGCTCTGGAACTCCAGTAAGGGATGCCCTAGACCTGGTGCAGTGTTTTAAATTCTTAAACCCAAGGCCCTCAGCGCTTGTGTCATTTTCCTTTTTTGCCTGGTGCAACCCTGCTCACTCCAGTGTGCACTGTCGCTTGATTAAAACTTTGCTGCTTTTTGCTGTCCCGTGCTACTTCCAGTTCTTTGTTACGCACCAAACATAGAAATCTGTCCCAGGACCCATGGTAAGAATAGTAAAAGGATCAGTGGTTGTCAAAGATTATATAAAGAGAGGGATAAATAGGCAAACAACAGAGGATTTGGGTAGTCATGAATCTATTATATTAAAACAGAATTTAAAAGAAAATCAGTTCTCCTAGCTGAAAGCAGTCCAGCAGCTCCCCAGTTAGGTTCCGGCCCTTCATCCCCGTAACTACTGACCTCTCCCTGGTACTGATAAGGTAGACAGTCATATTCCTGTAAATGAAGTGTTGTAACCCGTGAGGATGTTCTGTAAACAAAGTTTATAATACTCTGTTCCCATATGATTCATAAGACACTGTCTTCTTACGAGGCTAAATTACTAAACTGCCACCCTTGTCCTGTTCCAGTAAACTCACTCACTGTGTCACTAGAAAGACCACCTCCCTTCAACTAAATGTATAAAAAATCTGGAACTTTCTTTTATTCAATCCCTCAGTCTTTTGGATAGGAGACCAATTGAGTCAAGGTGCACCAGTAAATCCTCCTGATTCCCATTTGGTCTCTCTTGTCCTTTTAAAAATCTGCAACATTCCATGACAATGTAAGGTGGATACATGTCATACATTTGTAAAAGCCTATAGAATGTATGACCTCAAGAGTGAGCCACAGTGTAGAACTAGTGCAGTTAGAAACTGGAGCTGCTAGGTGTGGTGGTGCATCCCTGTAATCCCAGCACTCAGGAGGAGGCTGAGGCAGGAGGATTGCCCGGAGTTGGAGACCAGCCTAGACTATATAGTGAGTTCAAGGCCAGCCAGAGGTACATAGTGAGACCCTGTCTCAAAAAACAAAACATACAAACAAACAAAAAGAAACAGTGAAGCTGAGTAGTCACTCCCTTCTCTCCATTTAATTCTAAATAGCACCCTATAGTTACTCCTGCTTCTATTGTCCTAAGAGAGGGGCAGGATAAAATAACAACAGCTTAGGAGATCGCTGATGCTGTAGGCAAGGACACATGCATGTTGGATCTCCTGGCCGGAGTTTCTACGTACTACATCTCATGATTAAGATCAGAGTGAATTCTGCGATGAGTGTGTGTGCTGAGAGCCCTTAGGATGACTCAGCACCCTGTCAATCATTGCTGTCAGTCACACAGAGTGGGAAACACCTAAAGCAGATGAGTCTGGCCTTTAAATTCTGAAAGCTTGATTTCTCCACCCCATCCCCCTTTGTTTTTGTTGCTGTTGCTACTTTTGTATGCTTTTGACCTGTGTGTAATGTTTTTCTCTTGCTCCACCACCTGTCTTGGTCTGTGTTATACCTTCTGTTGGGGCATACTTGCCCTTGTCACCAGGTAGTCTCCTAAAAGTGAGACTACTGTTACTGGGTTTTGTGGTGTTTGTGTCTCCTACTGGAGTTGGATTCCAGTTTCTTCTTGTCTCAAACAAAGATTTGAATGAAACAAGCAAAAAATGGTGACAAAGTTTATTTGAAAATGTAAAAGTGAAGAGTGAGGGAGAAACTGGCTCTGCTGAGTGAGCTCTAGCCAAGTAAAAGAGGAAAAAGCAAGATAAAACTATACCCTGGGGAACACGGAGCAGGCTACTGTGAAGAAAGCCACAATAGCTAGCGAGCTCTTCATGGCATCTGTGTCCTTTCATGCCACCCAAATCTC